ATCTATTAAGGAATACTGAGGAACTGTTAGACAGTGCATTTGTCACTCAACTACTCTGCATATCCTCTATGTGTGTCTGTGTGTCAGATGCACGGCTGCGATCCTCCTGGTTGAGAGAATACAACACAACTCCCCACCTGTTTGGGGATGATTGAAGTTCCACCACTTACAAAGTGATTCCTCTGGCTCCTGCATTATCTCCTCCTAAAAATGCAAATTTCCCAGGAGAGGAATGCTGTTAGCTTGCTTATTTACAGTTAATAAGAGTAGGTTTGCCAGGCAGGCGCTTTTGTGAGAAAAGCTTTTGACAAGAAATGCTGAGCTTCCTCCTAGAGCCCATTAACCAGGCAATGGGATTCTGGAAGGTGGCTATATCTCATTTATATATGAGATACCCGCCTGGCAAGAACCTTCCATGCAGCATTTTCTCACCACAGGTTTTGATATGAATAAACTTCAAGTTGCCTCCAAATTCCAGTCAAACTGTTAAACACACCGAAAATGGTAATATTTGTGGTAGGAGAGGGAGTCAAGGTGAAGCACTGTGTCCTACGTTTGGGTAAACATGGGATCCGTATAAAGGAATCGCTGTGAGAAAATGGAAACCCAGAGTTCAGAAGATTCTGGATACTGGAGCAGGAGGCAACTGGGGACATTTTTAGGTCTAAATTAGTAGACATCCTGATCAACCTTCCTTTAGGATGAGGGATGGAAGAGTTGGAACTGACCTTAGCAGACCTTGGCAGCATGTGACGTAGGTGGCATCTGGATTTTATCCATCTAGTGAGGGGCTTATTTCTTCCCCTTATTGCCTCTTGGATCAGGACATGTATTTTAAATGCTTCTCCACTTTTCTGAGTGGCATTGTGGTGCAGTGGTTAACAGCCTAGCATATGGCACCAGACTGCTGACGTGTATGTTCTTGTGCCATCCCTGTGCCTGCACGGCCTCACTTTCCCCACTTGAAAAGTGGAAATAACGGTAGTTCCTGACTTGTGAAGCTTTATTTCGAGAATTAAAAGAGTTAGGATATGGTAGAAGGTTTGAGACAGAGCTTGGCAGATGGAAGGCACTGTTCATCACAGTGGTCACAGAAAGCACGTTATTAGAAGCAGATCCTGAGTGTCCTTCATTCTGGTGTAACGGATGTGGGAAAAGACTGTCCCCTCCATGTTGCAGAGGGCCCCTCAGGAGTGCAGACCCGTGGGGCTGCTCTTGCTGTAACATCAGTTGTCCCATGTGCCACTCCTGCCATGCTGTTTGGCCTTCGACAGCAGAGCACCAGGCTGTAGCTACACCAGGGGCACTGAGATTCTTTGTGATTAGGATTTTTCCCTCTCAATACCAAAATGGGCACAGGGTAAGCTTACTTGTTTTTTCTTTCATAACTCTAAGCCCTCCTCAGCTACATTCCTCCTCTTTGTTAAAGAGTTTCTAACCTTTGGGTTGGAACTGAATGTGATGGTGAGGTGTTTTGCATGTGGCTATGGGTGACATCTTCTCTTTCTCTTTCTTTCTTCCTCCCTTCCTTCCTTCCTTTCTCTCTTTATTGGTGTTGGGGGTTGAATCCAAGGTCTTTCCACTGAGCTACACTCCCAGCATCTCACTATGTCACTAAGTTGCCCAAGCTGTGCTCAAATTTGCCATTCTGCCTCAGCCTCTCAGAGTGCTGGGATTACCGGCGTGTGCTGCAGCTCCTGGCTATGGGTGAATCATTTATGACTTTTTTTGCGGGGGGGGGGGAGAACCGGGCATTGAACTCACAACCTCACGCTTGCCAGGCAGGTGCCATGCAACCGAGATGAATCCTTGGCCCTGGGTGAATCATTTAAAGAGGTGGGACTCGGTTTTATAATCAGTGCTCAGGATCCAGAAGGATATTGAAGTCTATAGTGCTCCAATTCCTCGGCCTGGGTCCGGAGAAGGCCAGTAGATTGTCATTACTGTGAGGGGCCAGCAAGAAGTACACAGGATATGTAAGAGGGAACAGAGTGAAGAAGGATTTATAGTGAAACAGATACCTAGTTAACAGCTGGCTGCCAGTCAGTGCACCCCAGACCTCAACTCAGAACTGGGGGAGACTTGTCCTAGATCCCCCCACTTGGAGCCACCCTAGAATCTCACTCAATTGTGCATAGTACCCTAAGCACTTCCCAGTCACACATGAGTGTCTACCAGCAAGGGTGGGGAAGGAGGCATAAAGAGGAGGTTTTGAGACAATTGCATCTCTGCTATAGGATTAGTCCTGTTGTGGCTGATGTCTAGATGTCTCCCCAAAATTTCATACAGTCATAAGTGGGGCTCTTTCAGAGGTGTCTGGATCTAGAGTACGTGATGGATTCATAGTACAGTGCTCTGATTAAAGGTGGATGATTACTAAATCAGTCCACTGATTGGTTTGAAACCACTCTAATAGCCTGGATACAGTACAAGGGACACAAACAGGCTTAGTCTTGTCCCTTCTTGCTTTGCTATCTTCTGCCCTGAAGGGACTGTTTCTCCTCTGTGATGCCTGTCTGCAGTAGCCACCCTGCCTTGGAGCCATGTGACTATGGACTGAAACCTCTACAAACTGTGAGCTAAATAAACCTTTCCTCCTTTAACTTTGGATGCTGGGCATTTTTGTCTTAGCAAGAGATAAAAGTAACTAAGAATCCCTTGCAGGTAAAATCATCCTTGGTTATTTAATACAGATAAGCAGGATCATGTGAGGGGACGTGATGAGGAATAATGAAAACATGAGTTTGTTCCTTTCCTCCTCTATCCAACACTTCCACAATATATTAAATTCTATTTACAAAGCACATCAGGACTCTTAGGAACTGGTTATTTCAAACCAAATGCTACCCCTACCCTCTGCTATACATGCAGATTTTCTCATAGAGACTAAAACAGTTCCATGATTTTAGAGTTTCTGTATGTTAAGACGGATGATGACAGATCTGATTTATTTCAGAGATAGGGACATGGTCTCATACATGTGAAGTCTGAACTGTTACTGGAATCCCAAGCCTACAACTCTGCACATATTACTTGCAACCAAAATTCTAGTCCCCAAATAGGATAATTTTGAATTTTACCTCTGAAAGGAGGGGCTTCTGTGAATCCTTATAAAATCTGGCTATAAATGTTTAACTTTCAGAATCTCCCAGTTCTCAGACACAGCCAAGTCTCTATTATACAAGCTCTCATTCAACCAGGATATTATCTGGATGACAAGAAGTGATTTCTAGATAAACTCAGGTTTTTTTCCTATAGGGGACAGAAAGCTTATTTTTATTTAGCCCTAGTTTCTCCAACCTTCAAAACTTTCATATAAATTTTTTCACAGGACTTCTCTGCATTGGCCTAACCCAGATTTTCCTTATACTGACATAGTAGGTCATGAAGAAATGTGGTGGTTATGATCGAAGCAAGATTGCCTGAGAGGGAATCCTGGGCAGTGACCACGAGCAGGTTATTTATCCTCTGTCCCAGGGCCATGTCTGTAAAAAGAAGATAATAATGGTATCTATTTTAGGTTGTTGGAATATTAAGTGAGTCGATACATGTTAAGCATTTAATTTGGTGCTTTGTGCATAGTAAGAACTTCAGATGTTAGCTAGTATCTTGTCCTATGCACGGTACCCACAAGCTCTATTTCCCAAGGCACAGGAAACTGACCATCCTATTGGGTGGAGTAGTTGACCTTTCTCTTCTGCTCTGTGATGGTCCCCAATAATCAGAGTGCAAGTTGGAAGTAGAGGAGGCACGCCTCCTTTCTGCTGAAGGAACATTCTCCTGTGTTTTTCTGGGAATGTCTTATTCATTGAAAAATATTTATTGAGACACAGACATGGTTCTGAAAATATATCAGTAAATAAGACAAATCCATCTTGTTCTCTTGGAGCTGTATTATCCAAATTCCACAAACCCCAGCATGCTATATTTTTCATTCATTATCTCTTCTTCAGTACAATACATTTATTCAGGATAATGGCCTTGAATGACTTCAAGAATGAAGTCCTAGGGGCTGGGGATTTATCTCAGCGGCATATGCGCCTGCCTTGCAAGTGTATGGTTGTGAGTTCAATCCCTGGTATCAATAAAAAAGAAAAAGACAAAAAAAAAAAAAAAGAGTGAAGTTCTAGGAATCACCAAAGAAATGCCATGACGGTCATTATAGATCTGATGATGTGCATATTTTGTTGCATTCCAGTACTTTTTTTGAAACTAGACAGTCCCTGGAACACAATCAGAGTATCCATGAATACTTAATTAGCCCAAATGGCCAGTCCCTAGACCACAGCATGGTTTATTTGTATGGTATTGTTCGTTTTTACTTGTGTATATTTTCCTTGTGTCTTCTGGTTTCCCATGTTATTGCATCTTTTCATACACTTCATTAGGGAGGAAGCTTCCATAGCCTGTGTACATCCTGCTGATGCCTGACCATCTATCTATCAGCTCCCAAGGAAGGAAGGCCAGGTCAAGATCAAGAAAGGAGAGATCTTGTCTGCTCCCTGTGACCTGTCCAAGCTCTCTCCTGGGGTGCTGACTTGGGGCTGGAGAAAATGGCCAGGGAAGGAGATTACTCACCCATCTTCCATAGCTCTTTCACCTTCTGTGAAATGACCCTGTGGAGTAGAGCTCACCAAGCTTCCTCAAAGCAGAAACATCTCAGTATTTAGGCTTACTTAGGCTATATCCTTAGGGGAGTGTGGAAATTGTTGCTGTTTTTGATCTGAAGGAATCCAGCAGGTAAGAAGAGGCCAGGAGTACTAATCTGTCACTTCAAGTACACACACACACACACACACACACACACACGCACACGCACACGTACACATGCACACATGATCTGAACATCTCTGTCTGCCCTACACTATCTGTGCCCTCAAAGTGAAGTGAAAATTCTGTCAAGTTCTAAGGATGACATTGTAGGGATGGAGGGAACAGAATAGGGAAAAAAGACAACAGGAAGGAGGATGGAAAAACCCCAGTATGGAAAGAGACACTACTGGTAGGGAAAGAAATTTTATTTTCAAGCTTTTAAGAGAATATTACAAACAACAGGGAGTTTTAAAAAACCCTAAAAACTAGTTTAAAAAAGTACTTGATAGTGTCCCTTTAATACCCAAGAATGACACGGCCACTGTGCAATGACAACAAGAAACTGCAGGTGACCACCCAGTGGCCTTCCCCAGAAGGGTCCCGGGAACAAGCAAGTGGGGTCAAAACCAATGCTCCCTGCCAGGACCCCTGGCCCTGCCTGGCTGCACAGGAAGGACCAGGAGCACACAGCACTGAGCAGTGACCAACTGCTTCTTCAGAGGGTCCCAAGCAGTGAAGAATACTTAGACCGGTCTCCGCTCCACTCCTTGGGCTCATCAGCCAGCTCCCATCCACCCTGCAGCAGCCCTCCTGGGAGACCCAGGGGTTGGCAGTGGGGGGCCCTGTGGAGTGCCTGGGTCCGTGTCTGAGCCAAGGTGTGAGGGGTGTAGCACTGAGCTGTCCCTGCCATGGGTGGGTCTGAGTAGTTGGGAAAGTTACTCCTGGATTGACAACTTTGAAGGCAGAGGCCACAGAAGCAGCACTGTGCTTGAGATAAACAGCCAACGGAAAGCCATACTTCTCTCTAAGTGAGTGTGTGTGCACATGTGTGTCCGTGTGCTGTAAACATCTTTTGAATCAAATCACCATAATAAGATAAAATAAAATAAAATAAGGGCACAGAAAAATACCCATTCCAAACCCATGCCTTCTTTGAGCCCACCTGAAAATTGCGAGTTTTGGCTGGGGAAGTTTTGATGGGAGGAGACACACCCTACTCTGGCCACTCACACCCTCCCAGGATCAGCCACCCCAGGATTCTGACAGTCACTGAACTCTGCCTCTCGGTTGGGCCCGGAGGCCAGGGCCCCAAGAGCCCAAGGAACCCCAAAGCCTGTGTGGCTTCCCTACCAGCCAGTCCAGGAACACCACCCAGGGCGAAGGAAAACAGACTTCAGTGTGAAAGGACCAGGCTCCAAATACTGTTCCCCCAACTGCTTTTTTTCTTTCTGCTGCCCACGCACCCACCAGCGCCACCGCCCTCTGTACCGGCTTTGCCCCTCCAGCAGCCTCTCCTCCTGGGCGGTGGTTTTGCCAGGTTTCATTCCACCTGTCTGGCCCGTTGTTGCTGAGTTTGTACCTGTTTTTGTCACTATTGCCTTTGGAGAGTGATATTGACCAACTGGAAATGATCGATGGCTCCAGATGCCAGCCTTCCCCAGCTCTACCTCCTCTGGCTCTCCTCGGGGCTCACGCGGTCTGCTTCTGTCTGCTCTGGCTCAGGCGCCGCCTCGCCTCCCCACCCTGCTCCCCGGCCCTCCCGGCCAGCCTCTCTGCGGTACTCCCGCCTTCCTCAGGTCTCTCCTGTCACACTGTGGTGACTCTCATGACGAGCTCTCGGCTGCCGCCCTGGGAGCTGCGCTGTTCTTGAGGTCTCAAGTGACTCAGGATGTGCAGGATGGTGTAAGCACAGTGGTGGTGGGACAGAGGGTCCGAGGGGTGGCTCGCAGCCGGGGTAGGGCCTTCCTCAGGCGCAGGGGTGCCAGCTGCCTCCCCTTCCGAGGACGGGACATTGGCCTGGGCGGACGAGGAGGGCCGGAGGTTTGTCCTGCCTCCCGACTTCTGCTCTTCCAGGTCTTTTGCTTTGTCATAGTTCAGCACTTTCCACTGCTGGTTGACGGCCTGCCACCGTTTAAAGATGCGGTACACGGAGGGCCCCTCGTGGATGATGAGACCTGAGGCAGCGGGGAGAGGAAAGAAATAAAGGCTGAGCGCACGAGACAACTCACTGCCAGGAGAAAGGGATGGGCTCTCTTGGTTTATAGACAGATGATTATCGGTTTAGTTTGTGCTTTTCAAATCCATTTTCCTGCTTTGAGTCACTTGCTCTCCATCCCTCGATTCCTGGGGCTTGAAAAGCGTTCAGTGTGGACAGGGTGGAGGGGCCTCCCATGCTAAGCTCATGAAACGCTGGACACCTGTACACGGTGCCGGGGCCTACCTCTTCTACTCCATTCACCCTGCTTCTGGACTCGACATAATCCAAATTATGCCATGGAGGTGTAATATAACGTCTTTTTGTATTACGTATCTGTGGTACCTAGCGTTTAGCAGATGTTGAATGCATTGTCTGCCTTTAAAAACAACATAAAAGAAACCCTGTGGTCATTTCATACCTGACAAATGACACTTGAAAATTTGCACAGATAGCTCTTGCACAGATATCCCAGTGCTACTGAAATTCAAACACCTCTGGAAAAGAGGATGCTGGTGCAGTTCCACTGGTTGAGGCAGTGGTAGAGTAGAGACAATCCAAACCAGGCAACAAGACAGCCAAGTGTTAATTGTGTGCCCACTGTGTGCCAGGCATGGTGACACAGCAGCGATGGAGACAGGCTGAGCGCTGCCCTCAGCGCGCCTGAATTCAAGTGGATGGACACACAGTGGACACACAGACAGGATAACCAGATCACTTTAGGTGCTGCCAAACGCTGTGAGGAAGAAAAGTAAGTTAGTTAGCCACGGCCTCCTGCCGCTGGAGGCTGGTTTTGCATGGGTGTGGGAAAGGCCTCTGGGGGAGGCCATGTCTAAGTGGAGACTTAAATGATGAGAAGAAAGGAAGCCCCCCTGCAAAGATGTGGAGCGAGAGCACGTTAATAGTAGGAAATGCAAGTGCAACAGGCAGGAGGTGGGAATGGAATGAGACTGGGTTAGCATGAAGCCCAGCGTACTCATCTACAGGGAATGGAGGGGACGAGGAGGGAGAGAAAGTGAGCAGAGGCCAATCTGTGGTCAGGTCATGTAGGCCGAGACAGGATTTGTGTTTGACACTGGGCGTAGTGGGAAGCCCTTAGAGGGTTTAACAGGGAGAATGATGCGATCTCATGTACCTTCCAAAATTTCTGAAGTCCCCTGGCTCTGGGAGCACAGGAGCGTGGGGAAGCTGAGCATGGTAGGACATGCCTGTGTCTGGGAAGCAGAGGCGGGAGAATCATAAATTTGAGCCCACCTTGGGAAATTTAGTGATTTAGTGAGAACTTGTTTCAAAAAAAAAAGTTTAAAAAGAGGCTGGGAAGCTGGGTGTGGGGGTGCACACCTGTAACCCCAGCACTCGGGAGGCTGAGGCAGGAGGATCGTTGCAAGTTCAAGACCAGCTTGGCTTACAAAGTGAGCTCAAGGCCAGCCTGAATTGCATAGTGAGACCCTGTCTCAAAAAGACAATAATTAATCAATTAAATTAGAAATAAAAGAAGCTGGAGAAGTATCTCTCTGGCAAGGTCTTAAGTTCTATCTCCACAACTGAAAAAAAAAAAAAAAAAAAAAAAAAACAAATAAGAGGGGAAAACTAAGCAGGAAGTGATGGAAAAATTGAAGTGGGGGACGACAGTGACTTAGACTGGGCTTGTGCTGGTGGAGGACACCAGACATGGGGAGGGATGTGTGCTGGAGTAGGGCCCCAAGATCTGTGGCAAGTAAGGTTTGAGCAAAGAGGAGCCTCTTTGTAACCCTGAGGTTTGACTTCAGCACTAAACCAGTAGGGTGCCCAGGCTGGCTGGGGTGTGAGCGTGACTAGATTCCAGGACCCGCCGCGTAGACTCCTTGTGAGAACCCACGAGGTGTGCATGGGACCAAAGGACACAGATGCCGCGAAGAGCTCACTGCTGTGGCTTTCCTCACACTAGTGTCTCCAGGGTACACTTTTGTTTTATTTTGTTTTTTAAACATTCCTCTCTGTTTGCCCCAAGTTCATTCTGCAGAGCTAGTTTCTCCCTTACCCTTCGCTCAGATAAACCTCTCACCATTGTTGCTTGTCTTGTTCAATTCTTTAAGATAGAAAGAACTTGGAATGATGTTTATTTAGTAGCTATGTCTAGAAGGCTCCCGATAATGTGCCACTTGTTGAATGTGGAGGGCTCCGGGGTGGGTGGTGCGGTGATGTTAACAGTGGCAGTATTGTTTGCTACCGCTGCGGTAACAAATGGCTACACATCAAGTGGCCCACAACAACACAAAGGTATTCTTTTACAGTTTTGGAGATTAGTGTCACCGAGCTAAAGAGAAAGGTGTCATCAGGGCTGGTGCAGTTTGGAGGGTTGAGTTATCTCCTGGCCTTTTTTAGCTTCTAAGTTGCCCTCCTTTTTTCCTCCTTCTTGCATCACTCCAATTTTTTTCTGTTGTCATAACCCCTAATGCCCTGTAGGTCCCATTGAATAGTTATGATAATTGCCCCACTTCTAGACCTTTCAGTTAATCATGTCTATCAAGTCCTTTAAGGTGATATTAATGAGTGAAGGATTAGGACCTGAACGTCTCTAGGGGCCACCTTTCAGCCAGTACTAGAGTGACTAATAGTTATTTTGGTCATGGTAAATTAAAGATATCTGATAAAAATCTAACTGGAAGTTCAGGAGGGAAATGAAACACGTGAGTTGCAAGCTTAGGAAAAAGGCCTGAAGACAGAAGCCTTGGGTGTAGAGGTGGAGCCGTGGTTTGAATGTGTCTTCAAGTTTCAGATGTTGCCGGTGAGATGATTAAAATGTAAGGTCTGTAAGAAGTGATTATTTCCCGAGTGTTGTCTTAGTTATGTTCTCCTCACTGAGCCACGATATCCAACACTCGCGATGTAAAGGAGAAGGGGACTTTTTCCACTCACATTTCAGCCCACGGACAGCAGCCTCCCCAGAAGGAACAACATGGCGGAGGGGCCCGTTGTGGAGCAGAGAGAAGAGCCTGGGAGGGAGCTGCACCCTTCCAGGCCGCACCCCAGGGACACATCTCTGCTGACCAGACCCCACCTCTCAACTGCAAGTCACCAGGAGCGAACGCCCTCATAATCCAAACACATGAGACTTTGGGGTCTATTTTAGATCTCAGCTCTAACGGGCTCCTTCCTCATAAATGTGTCCTTATAAAGCAGCCTGACAGAGTCAGTTCTCTCCTAACCTTTTCCACATTTTGTCATGTAAGCATGTAGCAAGAAGCCCCCATCAGACGATCCTCAGATAGGCTCAGGAACTGTGGAGTCTTTCCAGCCCCCAGAATGGTTATAAATCTCTGTTTTGTATCAGTTCTGTAGGTGTGCTCATTGTGTTGGAACAGCACAAGACAAACGAAGTCTTGGTAGAATTTGAAGTTTGGGAATATCTGAATTGTGTCGGGGAAATAAGAGGGCCAGTGCAGAGCCCTGGCTTCTGAGCTTTAGCAGTTTGGTGGAGGGAGAGTCAGCCAAGCAGGTGGTAAAGAAGCACTCAGGGAAGCAGAGGCAAGACCGGCAATGGGGAGAGCCAGAAGTCTGGAGGAGGATGCTTCAAACGGGTATAGGGAGTGTGACAACAGTTTTAAGTGGGAAAACCCAGAGTTTTTATAAAGTGCATTGTTGTCTTCCATGAAATCACTTGCTAAGCAGGAGGGAAGAGGGAGGATCTGTTGAACATTTGTGGAGAAAGGAGGGATAGTTATCTTTAAAGGTAAGATTGCATTTACAGAATGTGGTAGAGTTATCTGATTTTGTGGAGTGCCCTTGTGAGTTCTGTAGCCGTGTATCTGAAGAGTCCAGCTGTTGGGTGTGCAATTTTCCTCCACCTTCCACTGCTTGCTGAAATAAGAGGACGAACGTGTCTAGCAAGCTTAAACTTTTTCTGGGAAAGCAGACGTAACAATTATGTCAGTTTGCAAGAGAGCAGTTATGACACTGGGCCATGGAACTTACGTAGGGGAGGAAGAAACTGAGGACACAAAATTTATAAGGAAATGTGGACAGAGCACATTCTGTCTTAGCCTTCTCCACCTTTTGAATGACAAGGTGATGGATCGAAGCCAGGAGGCCCTTGAGAAACTGGAGTCAGTGAACTGTGAAGATTGGGGGATTATGGGCAGAGGGTAGGGTAGCACAGTTAAAATTCAGATTTTGGAAGTAGTGTACTTGTTGGTACCCACTTGATTAGGGGTGAATGCAGGCTGGAAAAAAGATCTTTGGAGAATCAGAGAGGACAAGGAGTTGGTAGATTATCTGCATCAGTCATCCCCATGCTACCAGACAGTGTTCCCTTTTTATAACAAGCATATTTTAATATCCCTTTCTTACCCTGAAATGATATTCAGAAGACATTCAGAAGATATTATAAGCTACTTGGGTTTCTTTTTTAAAAAGAATTAGTAGAATGCCTTCAAAAATAATATAAAGTAGACAAAGGGGAAGTCACTGATAACAAAATAAGATGAATTTCAATATAAATGCTGAAGCAAGATTTCGTTAGAAAACAAGCCAGTAAACTCCAGACATTTCCAAACTGCCTCCAGGGGAACGCTGCACAGATGCTGAGGCAGGAACGCTGGGAGGGAGTGTGCGGGCTCTACATCAAGGAATGTGAAGACCGAGTGGGTGGTCAGAGGCCAGCAGCGAGGAGGGCAGAGGAGGGAAAGGAAGACTACACGCACTTCAAAGGGTTGGAGCCCTGAGGATAAAGAACAGAGGCAGAGAGGAAGTGGCGGTGGGGAGGAGACGCACATGGACCCACCTCTGGGTCCCAGAATGCAATGTGTGGCAGAAAGAATGACTACCATCAGAGACAGCCATGAGAGAAACAGTGTCCTCAAAGACGGTTAAGTGTTCGTCAAAGGAAGGTGAAACAAATGCACGGAGAATTCCTGGCGTTGCAGAGGCTGGGAAGATGGGATGAGCAAACGGGGGAAGGATGATTGTCCCCACAGTGAGGGTGTTGGGAGGCCGGCTCCT